AGGATCATTAAATTTATTTCAGTCTGTTTTACAAAATTGAATATAAGGTGATTATGAATATTACAGCAAGTTGTGCACATTATCATTAATCTGTCTCATTTCTCCTGTCTGCCGTGTATTTTTCAAAGTATAGTCCTCTGACCAGGATCACAAATATAGCCTGGAAACTTGTTAGAAATGAAAAATTTGAGACCCCAGCTATACTTCTGAATCAAAATCTCTGGGTATGGCCGAGCAATCATTGTTTAACAAGGTTTCCATAAGATCCTGATGCACACTAAAGTTTGAGAACCTCTGCTGTAATCATATTCCACCTGCATAGCTTAACAAGTTTATTAGTACTTGTTAGCTAGTGTTTCAAAGATAGTCTTTGTTATTTAAAATTGTTTAATTAGAAGAAGCCTCTGTAGTAGTTGTTAGGAAATTGTATACTCAAGTAACAATTATGTAAATATTTATGTACAAGTTATACCTATTAACTAAAGTATGTCTATAAAAATAAGTAAAAGCACTCTACTGAGTGATTTTTCACTACCACCATGCATACAAGGAATTTCTACACATTTACATTTACCTATTGTGTGTTCTGTGCATACTTAAACATCATTGCCTGTTAGCAATAACATTTTTCAAGGTTATTTTTTCTGTGAAGGTAAAAATGGACCCAAACTTCATTGACAAGTTCCCTGGGCTATAGAATCATTATTTATGACACCCTTTTTTTGTGTGCAACTTGAGCAGTCTTTGAAGCATCTTTTAGACTCTAATGTTATCTTCAAAGTGTCAAGGGTAAAAGAAAAAGATCACAATAAGTGATTTTCCATGGAGGTTGCAACCTTCAAACTTTAGCAAGTATCTAAAAGTTAAAAATAAAATGTCTTATTTAAAGAGTGTAGGTAAATCTAATTAAACCTCATTGTTTTGGAATCTACTAGTGCAAAAAAGGTTATATCTGAAGTAAAAATATAAATTTCTATTATTTCTCAAGGATAAAAAGAATGTGGTAATAAAATTAATAATAAAAAAGTGAGAAGCAACTTAAGCTAAATGTTAATAAGAAAAATGATTTCATACTTTTAATGGCATCTCTTTTGCCATTGATTGTGAATAGACAATGATTGCTTGTTATCTACTTGTTAATAGATACTAATAACCTTCTTTTATCTATATGTATCATCCTTGTATATATGATCAAAGAAATAAAGCTACAATTGTTAGAACCACTCTTCTATTTGGATTTTCTAATAACCTATACAGATATTTTTTTCTTATTTTATTCTAAATTAACTTTTATTTTCCTGCTCTTTGCCTTCTAGTTGAGCCTTCCCATTTATAGTTCACAAATGTTTCTACCCAGCTTGTGCCCTCCTGTTCATTCTTCCAATCTCTACTTCATTTGGCTGTTTGTTCCTTTAGATACCGTGATTTCAGTATTCATCTTCCTGCCCGGCACTGCCAATTTTTGGGTTCTTGTTCTCTCTTCTCTTTCCCCTCACCTTTGGTTCTCAACCACTGTTGCTAGGTTTGGTTTCTGGATTTTTTAATTGTATCTCTTTTCTAACTGGTATAATAAAAACTATGAAGATGTAAGATTGAAAATCAGAGGCCTGGAGAAAATTGACAAGTATTGAATACCTACTCTATGCTAGGTGATTTACTTATATAATTTAATTCTCATAAATGTAGGTATGCTTAATTGTTAGCTCCATTTTGTTTGTAAGTACACTGAAGCTCAGAGAGGTAAAATATTTTGTTCTAATTCACAAAGCAAGTAAGTGATAAGGCCAGATTTCAAACCTATATGAGTTCATTTATTCACTCCTCTTATTCAACAAATATTGATTGAGTACATACTCTGTATGTTGGCCACTATGGTAGGGGCTTCACCAGATCCAGTCCTTACTTTCACGACCTTAACTATGTGGTGGTATTGTCTGACTTCACAGATGTTGATCATTTTGCTACACTAAACAGGGAAAAGATACATTTGATGTAGATGTGAGAAAAACTGTATTTGTGCATTATTTAAGAAAATATAAACAAAAGTGTTGGTTTGTGTCTAGCCCTAGAGTCTCCCTCCTCACTCAGCACCAATGCCTTTTAGTGACATCACTACTCTATATGTATTTTCCTCCTGTGTTCTCAGCTGTACAAGATTTATGTCTATAGGCCAATATTCTGTAGAAAGTCTTCAGAAAGAATTAGCTGTCTCTCCTAAATTACATTTGGAAAAGAGGAAGTCCTCTGTGTAAGAATACATACATTCATCCATCTCTCATCCATATATTTACTAATACATTGTAAAATATTCAAGATGACTTAGCCAAATACACAAAACACAGCAGAACTTTTAATAAGATAAATGTGGAAAAATAGGGCAAGGAAAAATAAGATGAAATTAAGTTGTGTTCAGTGAAAGTGAAAGTATTAGTCGCTCAGTCATGTCTGACATTTTGCAATCCCATGGACTGTAGCCTGCTAGGCTACTCTGTCCGTGGAATTCGCCAGGCAAGAATACTGTTGTAGGTAGCCATTACCTTCTCCAAGGGATCTTCCCAACTCAGGGGTCAAACTCAGGTCTCCTGCATTGCAGGCAGATTCTTTACTGTCTGAGCTGCCAGGGAAACCCCATGTGTTCAGTAAGCCTACTTAAAAAAAATTCATAAATTTGTCTCTGTTCTCAAGGATAACTTGATTCACAATCATTATAATTTTAAAAACAAACTGGTATCATAAAAGAATGCCCATTTCTAGTTGTGATACTTAAGAAAGAATTTCTTCTGAAGAGGACCTCGGTGTCGTGTGGTGAGCAATGGCCTCAAATACTTGCTAATAAATATGAATTTTGCTGAGCCATTTAATTGTATCCCACTGCATACTACAAAAGCAAAGTCCAATAAAACAATTCTTTTAAAATTGGGACAAGCCTTTCCAAGTAGACCACCATGGTCTGGCCAAATTCCGTGGCATATTTTAGAGGATCGAGAAAAATGAATGAATTGCATGTCTTTTAGGTAATTCTCATATGTAATTTGTCAATTGAATTTTTCACATACTAGACGACAGTGAGTTTACGTACCCTTATAAGTTTGTTTTATTCACTATTGCAGCATCATTGCATAGAATTCTACCTAGTACATAGTCAGTGTTTAATAATACTTGTTGTATGGATGGATAAATGCTGTGCTTTGATAAGTGAAAAAGCCTTCCTCTTAGCTATCTGTTGATATTTTCTTCCTTGTCCTTAAATAAAGCATGCTACTCTACTTTGGAGTACATCATCTTTACGTGGACCTGCAAATTCATTAAATGTCAGACATTGCTTAAGTGACCTTCAAGCAGATATGAAATCAATATAAACTCTATGCAAAAAGCTCTTTTAAGATCGTTCTCAGTAACATGCCTTCCTTGATTTTTTAGGACTTTAAGATTTTAAGGTTTCTAAGAAGTTGTAGACTTCAGTAAAGCAATTTTAACATGGAAATAGTTTTTCTTCCCTGGAGACCTCAAAATCCTACCAGATTTATTGAATTTGGAAAACATGGGGGTAGATTCTGTATAATACTAGCTTAACAAATTTTAGCTGTATATTTTAATGAAAGTGCTTAACTTCCAAACTTAAGAATTTAAGAATGTCCATTTTTCCTTCCTGCTGGTCCTTTATTTTTAAAGCAGGTTTTATTGAAGAGCATTATGTTAGTGTTAATTTTTCTTTAAAATTTCTGACACTATTAAATATTACATTATGCTGGGATTCAGTGAACCAGTAGATTATATCATTTCTGGTAATCTTTTATTCTATATAACTAAGTAATTTATATGCATCTTAAAAACTTATTTATAACATCAACTGGATGTAACACATAGAGACACATTTTAACTGCTCCTCCCAGATTTCTTACTCTATGAAAATCTATTGAACTATTATAGCAACCTGCACCTTCACTTTAAAATTTAGGTTATTAGGCTAGATGAGACCTTTATCAATGTAAAGTTTGCCTAGAGCAATGGCCTTATTTAGGATGATCACTCTACTTCTAATGAAATATTGAAATATCAACCTTTCACTCTATTTTCCATAACTTGCTTTTTATTTTGTTTGCCTTTCTTCTTATTTACTATATATTTTGCAAGCTTTCTTCCTGTGTTGCTCCCAATTATTATAGCGTGCTATATATGTAAAAAGAGGATTAGAAATGATTTAAATCATGTACTTCACTCCCAACTTTAGCATAAAGCTTATCTTTACCATCACATTATGATAATATATACATATTTCGGTTGACCTTTAGAAAATGAAATTTTCTTGCCTTCAATACCTATTCCACGTTTAACCATACTTGTTTTAAGAATGCCCTATTTTAAAACTTACATACGTAAAACCTATCACTTTATTAATTCCTTAAAAAGGAATATATCTGTTTTATCTATTTTAAAAAAACAGATATATAATTTATATTGAAGATTTGGGAAAGAATCTAGAGTTTTTCTTCTGTCCAATATGGAGAAGATTGACTTGATGATTTGTTGAGTTCCATTTATTATATCATAAAATCATAGAGCTAGGAAAGATGCAAGGGGTTCTCAGGTTTTTAGGGCCTAATTATTTCAAGAGTAATAGGCAAAGAAAAATACCCAGATTTCTTGTTCTGTGAAAATCTGTTGAGCCGTTTTAGCAATCTGAGGCTTAATTTTAAAATTAAGGTTATTAGGCATGATGAGATTGCTATCAAACACTCCTGAGTTATAAGGGATAAGAAAGATCTACTAATATAAAAGTTCCCTCAGTATCCTGGTTTTCAGCTTTTATTCAGTGGTCCCAAAGAATTGAATCTTTAAGCCTTAAAGAAAAAAAAATTGGAGCACTGCAAAGTATGGTTTATATTAATAGATAGCATGATCTATAATAAATTAACTTATTTTTTAAGTTAATTTTGCTACTCTGCCTTCCTTATTTTTGGTTAATTTCACTCAGTCTGCTATTTAATCTTTAATTACAGGCCACAAAAGAAGTAATAGAACGGGAAGCACCAGGGATGGCCCTGGCAATGCTGATGGGATCACTTAATGTTACACCTCTGGGCATGCTCTCTAGGTAAGAAAGTCACCAAAGTGGTGCAAAGAAAATTAATTCCATACCAGTAATCACTACAATAGACTGAGAAACCTAAGAAACGTTATAATCATACCACTTAATTTTGGGCCACACCGCCCACCCCCCCGCCCCGCAAAGTCTCAGCATCCTCTCTAAATCTTGGCCACAGTTTCTTTCAAGTTCTTTATCCTTTTTTATTTTTTTGCATATTATGTTGAAACAGAAAATATCATTACTGCTGAAAGTAACCTCAAGAACAGTCCAGTTTTTAAGATGTAATATATTCTTTTTTTGTGATTATAGTCATCAATTAATTTTCCTTAGTTGTCATTAAATCCTAATTTAATAAAACTAAGCAGTAGAGTCTTTTAATAGGTTTTTACAAGTTAGGAACTCAATTTCCATTTGTAAATAGGCATACTGATGTGTGGTCATGAAAAGAAAATCAATAATATATGTTCAAAGTGTTAGTTACTCAGTTGTGTCAGACTCTTTGCAACCACATGGACTGTAACCTGCCAGGCTCCTCTGTCCATGGGCTTTCCCAGGCAAGAATGCTGGAATGCTGGAGTGGGTTGCCATTTCCTAATCCAGGGGATCTTCCAAATCCAGGGATGGAACCTGAACCTCCTCCATTGCAGGCAAATTCTTTACTGTCTGAGTCACCAGAAAAGGCTAGTATATTAAATTAGTATATTTAAAACTATGATTCATTGACCTGCATGGTGACATCCATCCTCAATTTGATAGTTTAGTTATTTTTTATTATTTTAGTAATTATTAGATTAAAATCCCCTTTAATGAGAACAGACATCATTTAAGTTAAAGACAGAACTGTCAACTTAGAATCTGTTGATTTAATGACCTTTGATTTATACAGTTGATCTCAGAGCAACCTGGAAATACATAGTAACTTTATAATTGGCAGGATTTCTCTATCATTATTTATAGTTGTTTATTGATCCTGTTTACAAAATTAATATTAAAGTAAGTATATCCATTTAATGCATAGAATGAGTTATAATGCCCTTTCTGTTACTTAGACTGTTTATATCCTGTAAGTGGCAGCCACTTGAAGCACAGCTACAGGGAAAAGTGAGTGGGTCATCAGTTACTGTACTTTCTTTCCTGTTACAAGTACTCTATTGTAACATTTCATATAAGACGACCAAGAAAAGAACTAAGTAACTTGATTTTTTTAATTTAAAAGTCCATGCTAATCTTTAACAAACTTACACTGATTCTCTTATGCTGCTCTTTTTTCACCCTTACTTATATTACCTACCCATAGGAGATCAAAGGTCACCTCTGGCCCCTTTTCTCTATGGAATTAAGTAGTAGTCTTTGAATATAAGAACTCTTTCTTGGCATACAAGGAATATAGTCATGATAGAATTAAACTTCATCTCTTATTAATTACTTTATAATAAAAATCTAATTCTACAAACTCTTGAATTATTATTATTCAAAATAATATATTTGTCAGGCCTTGTGTTAGCCATTAGGAATACTAAGTGTGGAAAGAAAAGTAAGACATGGTCCTTACCTTCAGGATCCCCCGTTTATCTGGAGAACTTTTTCCTTACAACTGTTAAGGTAACTTCTTAAACTGAATATAGCTTTCCTGGTCCAGTATAGAAACAGTGCTTTTGCCTTATTGAAAAATTTTTCTGGATTAATTTCCCCTCTGCCTTCTAAATTCACATAATTACTGAGTACTGGCCTGCCCAGTGAATGAAAATAAATTAATAGGAGCTGATTTTAAGTATTTTGGAATGAGTTCATCATTCTTAGGCTGAAGGCTTTGAAAATTAAAACATATATACAGCATGGTAACAGATTCTTCTGACTTTTATTTCCATTACTATTGAACTGAGAGTTTATTTACAAAATTGAAACAGTGATAGTAGTCCACATGACTTATGGAAAAGGAATTATGGGCTGTTTCCCTTTATGTTTATTTTTTTGTGCTTTGATTAGATTGATGCCTCCTTTCTATAGATTTTTTGCCTTGTATGTACTTGAGGCTTTGTACATGCTTATGTTATAGCACATGCTATGTTTAATCATTTACTTTCTCATCTGTTTTACCTAATTTGTATAAAATACAAATTTGTATTAAGATCAACTGCTTTATCTTATTCGTTTTGCATCCTCAGCTCCAGAACAATTTCTGACACATAGTAAGTACTCAAAAAAAAGGGTTTACTTTTATGATTACTATTGCTAACTCAATGTTTCATCCTAGTTTTAATAGAATATTTTTCAGGGTAAAGTAATACATCAAGTTGGTGCCTTGCCTTCCTATTTTTCTCTCTAGTATTAATAATAGTATAATACTATAATACTTAATGATTTAATAATATTATTTAATTACTTTAATTAAGTAATTAAAGTTACTTAATCTGCTTAAATGGCTTCCATCTATTTGGTTAGCTTAATATTTTCCAGGTTTTTTTTTTTTCCCCAACAAGTTGGAAGATTGTAGTAAGTAATGGTTAAGAGCATCGTCTCTGAACTCACATTGCTTGGGTTCTGTTCTGGCTCTGTTACTAGCTATATCACATATTTCTTTTTCTCATCTCTACAATGAGGATGTTAATAGTGCCAACCTTCTTGAATTAAGTAAACTAGTCCATTTAAGTGCTTAGAACAGTTGATTCATAGTAAGTTTAAGTGTTGATCACCATTGTATTGTTACTGGTTCACAGTTCCAGTTCTTAGATCAAGTGTGCTAGCAAAACTTTTTAATACTTTGATTCATCTGTAAATGTCTTTATCTTACCTTTATTCCTGAAGGATATTTTCACTAGATATAGGATTCTGGATTTACAGTTTTTTCCTTTCAGCATTTAAAAAATTGTTATTCCACTGTCTTCTGACTCCATAGTTCCTATGGAGAAATCCACAACCATTGAATTGATATATCCTTATATGTGTTATTTTTTATTCTCTGGATGCTTTGAAGATATTTTTTCTTTATCTTTAATTTCAACAATTTGATTATTATGTATCTGGATGTGGATTTTTTTTTTAGTTTATGCTTTTGGGTTAAAAGAGTTTCTTTTAACTATGTTTTTAACCAAATTTGGGGATTAACCATTAAGTTTTCAGATTTTTTTCTTTTTCTGTACCTCTTTCTCATTTTCTTCTGGTACTTTTGTGACATGAATTGCACATCTTTTAATAATGTATCACAGGTCTCTGATGTTCACTTTTTTTTTTTAAACTCATTTTTATCCTGTTCTTCAGATTGTTTATGTTAATCCATCTTCAAGTTCACTGACATTTTCCTCTTTCATCTTAATTTTGCCTTTGAGCCTAGGCAATGAATTTTAAAATTCCAGTTGCAGTATTTTCAGTTCTAAAATTTATATTCAGCTATTTTTTATGGCTCTATTTCTTGTCTAAGAACTTCTATCTTTGCTTTTATTTCAGAAGGGTTGACCTTTATTTCATGGAGAATGGTTTTATAATTGCTGCTTAATGTTGATTTTCTGACAACTCCCATATCTGAATCACCTTGGAGTTGACATCTGTTGATTTTCTTTTTCTGAAATAGGTGGTCAGATTTTCTTGATTTTTCTATGTTGTGTAATATTGGATTATACCCTGGACATTTTGAGTATTATCTTTTAAACCTCTGGCCTCTGTTAAAGTTCTCTGGAGAGAGTTATAATCAGATTGGTTTCAGCAACCAATCTGATTGGATTCATGTTGAAAATTCTGTCTCACTTTATATGGATGGTGAAAAGCCTTTGCTATTGTGCTTGGGTCTGCCTGCACATGAACCATTCAGGAGTTAGCTTGAGAATTGGGCAGTGGAGTATATTTTATTTATTTTTTTAAAAACCTTTCTTACAGTTCTTTGAGTTTGTCACACATGCTTAGCTCAGGAGTAAGCCTGGGACTTGTGTCAGTTCATTCTCGGAATTAAGAGATCCGCCTTCACCAGCTCTCTCTGCTCTCTAAGCATTCCCCTGTACTCTGCAGTTCCCAGTTATTGCTCTCTAAGAAATCGCTTGGCAAGAGTGAATGTCAACATTCTAGGAATCAGTGAACTAAAATGGACTGGAATGAGTGAATTTAATTCAGATGACCATTATATCTACTACTGTTGGCAGGAATCCCTTAGAAGAAATGCAGTAGCCATCATAGTCAACAAAAGAGTCCGAAATGCAGTACTTGTATACAATCTCAAAAACAACAGAATGATCTCTGTTCGTTTCCAAGGCAAACCATTCAATATCATGGTAATCCAAGCCTATGCCCCAACCAGTAACGCTGAAGAAGCCGAAGTTGAAAGGTTCTATGAAGACCTACAAGACCTTTGAGAACTAACCCCCCAAAAAGATGTCCTTTTCATTATAGGGGACTGGAATGCAAAAGTAGGAAGTCAAGAAACACCTGGAGTAACAGGCAAATTTGGCCTTGGAGTACGGAATAAAGCAGGGCAAAGGCTAATAGAGTTTTGCCAAGAGAACGCACTGGTCATAGCAAACACCCTCTTCCAACAACACAAGAGAAGACTCTATACATGGACATCACCAGATGGTCGACACCGAAATCAGATTGATTATCATGAACTCCTTATTGCCAAATTCAGACTTAAATAAAAGAGAGTAGGGATAACCACTAGACCATTCAGGTATGACCTAAATCAAATCCCTTATGACTATACAGTGGAAGTGAGAAATAGATTTAAGGGACTAGATCTGATAGACAGAGTACCTGACGAACTATGGATGGAGGTTGGTGACATTGTACAGGAGACAGGTTTCAAGACCATCCCCATGGAAAAGAAATGCAAAAAGGCAAAATGGTTGTCTGAGGAGGCCTTACAAATAGCTGTGAAAAGAAGAGAAGTGAAAAGCAAAGGAGAAGAGGAAAGATAGTCCCATTTGAATGCAGAGTTCCAAAGAATAGTCAGGAGAGATAAGAAAGCCTTCCTCAGTGATCAATGCAAAGAAATAGAGGAAAACAACAAAATGGGAAAAACT